ACCCCCACAACCACCACCACGACAACGACCACAGCAAAGACCACAACTACCACAACAAAGATCACAACTACCACAACAAAGACCATAACCACCACCACAACGCCTACAACCACCACCACGACAGCCACCACAACAAAGACCACAACTACCACAACAAAGACCATAACCACCACGGCAACGGCCACAACCACCACAACCAGGACTACCACCAGAAAAACAACGACAACTACTACAACTAGTACTACTAGAAGAACTACCACTGCCATAACAACAACAACTACTACTATGATGACGACTACAGCTGTCTATTGGTTTCCAGGACCGAAAGGTGCATAATGTCTTTTATTGATAACAACTTTTTTTAAAACTTTCGTTTAAAGGTTTATCCGGTGCTGATGGCATACCAGGCCTTCCTGGTTCACCAGGTCCTGTAGGAATAATTCAAGATACAGGTGACATGGAAGTAAGATGTCTTAATTTCGATGTACATTTTGTTAATTATCTACATATATTTAGAATGTGGAATCCATTGCAAGACATCGTGAAGAAGACATTCGTACTATGATTCAGCGTCATTTACTCACGCATATCTACAATCCATCACAATTTGTTAGAGGTCGAACACCATTAGTTTCTTCTGCACCTTATATTCCATATGCTCAATTATCAGCAGGAATGCCTGGACAATGTAAGCAAATATTTGAAAGAGTTGTATAAATTTTTATTTAGTCACTATATTTTATGGTTTCAAGCTGGCATCGAAGGTCAACAAGGTTTACCGGTTTGTAAATGCACTTTACCAAATTTTTTATTTGTTTTCTATTTATTTTTTTAGGGTCCACAAGGTGTCATGGGTGAATATGGTATGATTGGAGATCGAGGTTATCCTGTGAGCAATTATATGGATAATTCATACTTATTGTTTTATTTTTTTACATTCATCTTAGGGAGCTGTTGGATCACCAGGTTTTATGGGACAAAGAGGAAGAATTGGACGAAAAGTAAATATTTATTAATAATTTCGCAAATAATATGATTTATAACTCGATTCTTTGTCAGGGAAGTATTGGGAGATTTGGCTGGAAAGGTGAGAAAGGTATTAAAGGTGTTCAGGTTAGTAGAATCGATTAGACAACAAGAATCAATCTTATAAACTTATAGGGAGAGACTGGCTTGATCGGTATTCGTGGTATTATTGGTATCAAAGGTTCGTAGATCTTGTTGTTTCAAATGTCAGAAAGAATTTTTTTTTTTTTGAATTTCTTTTTTTTTTATTTCTAGGAGAAACTGTAAGAAATTTAGCATGTATAATAAATATAACTAAGGCATACATGTTTACAGGGTTCAATAGGAGAAAAAGGAAGGAAAGGAGATATGGGAATTCAAGGAGAAAAAGGTTGTACAGGACAACAAGGAGATCAAGGACCACGTGGAAAGATTGGTAATCGAGGCCAACTAGGACTCGTTGGTGAGCAAGGTGATCAAGGAACAAAAGGTACAGTTGCATTATAAGTACAAATTGATTTTTTTTCAATAACAAAATTCATTTTAATGTTCCTAGGCTTACAAGGATCAATTGGTCCAGGTTTGTTCGTGTTTTTATACAAAGCCTTTTTCATTTTTTTTCCTAATTTCTTGTTTAAAATAGTTGGTGATCAGGGTGACAAAGGTCAAAAAGGTACCCCAGGTGAACAAGGTTCAAAAGGTTTACAAGGAGAGCAAGGAACAATTGTAAGTAGACACGAAGATGACTTTAATGTTCAGACTTCACATCTTTTATATCTTGAATGCTTACATAGGGCCGAAGAGGCAATAAAGGTACACGTGGACAAATGGGTATCCAAGGTTCGATTGGTGAAAAGGTACGAATCGATTGATCATCTGATATATTCATGTTATTAAGTATATCATTGATTGTTTAGGGTAATATTGGTGGTATTGGTAGCAGAGGTGAACGTGGAAAGAAAGGAGAAAAAGGTGTTCGAGGCACTCAGGGAATTCAAGGAGACGTAAGTGAATTTTGCATTTGTTAATTTAACATAACGTGATTTTGCGAATATATGTATATCTCTATCGTACTTGTATTTAGATTGGTATTCAAGGACTACAGGGATTCACGGGCGATGAAGGCTCTGTAGGATTTAAAGGTGAAAAAGGTTATGAAGGTGATGAAGGTGAAGTTGGTCCAGATGGAGATAAGGTTATTATCTAGTTTTAATTGTGATGTTGATGATAGAAATTCTTTTTATCCTCTAATTAGGGAATGCAAGGTATTAAAGGAGACAAAGGTAATGTGGGAGCCATTGGTTTCAAGGGAATTACAGGAAACCAGTAATTATCAATAGACTATTTTAACTATATTTTTTTATCGTTCTATTTTAATAGAGGTATTCAAGGTCAAATAGGGTCTATAGGAAATCGTGTAAGTGTTCATATATTTTTCATTAAAACAAATAAACTATGATTTGATTTATTTTTCAATAGGGTGATAAAGGCAATAAAGGACTTGAGTAAGAAAGTTTTCTTTAGTTTTATTGAAAGTCTACGTAGTAAGGATATTTATATAGAGGAGCAGAGGGTATTCCAGGTCCTGTTGGTGACCGTGGTTTTACTGGAAGAGAAGGTCCTGCAGGTGAAATAGGGCAAAAAGGTGAGAAAAATTCTTGTTAATACATCACGTAGACATACAGTGAAATATCTCTATTATTGATATAGGTGATAAAGGTGATAAAGGAGATCTAGGTGAAAAAGGCGAAAAAGGTTTTGATGGATCACAAGGAATTATTGGTGAACAAGGTGTACAAGGACCGGTCGGAGATCAGGTAATATTTATCAATAAAATCATAACATTTCATACTATTAATTTATGAATTGCACTTTGCACAATAGCTGATACACATATTAGTCTTTTAATCATGCTTTGTTTTAAATATTTTTCAGGGTATAAAAGGTTATCGTGGTATCAAAGGTGAATTAGGAGTTATAGGAGAAATAGGTCCAAAGGTAATTTTAAATAAAGATTATCAACATAACAGTTTAACTTGAACACATATTGTTTCTATAAATCAGGGCATCGAAGGCTCGATTGGAATAACTGGTTTCAAAGGAACACACGGTGATATAGGCGTTCGTGGAAACCAAGGAGATCAAGGTGATCATGGTATTATTGGCGATAGAGGCAAACAAGGTTTACAGGTGAGTTATATATACTATGTTTGTTAACTCAATAAGTTGTCCGCTTCGTTTCTCTTTTAGGGAGTAATTGGTCCAAAAGGTATCTAGATAAAGAAAAATATTATTTCAAACTTTAAATTTTATTTTAATTTATAGGCATTACTGGTATCGTTGGAAATATAGGAAATAGGTTAGTTTTTTATTTTTATGTTACTTTATTGACATCATTGTATAATGATTCTGATGTTCTTTTGTTAGAGGACCTATGGGTCAAATTGGTCAAAAAGTGAGACTTTTATAATCATGTATAATAATTAGTATGAATATATTTTATTTAGGGAATAAAAGGAGATACAGGTGATCAAGGAAGAATCGGTGATATTGGTCCAATAGGTAAATTTTTATCGATAAAAAGAATTGGTAAAAATGACTTTATACAATAACATTTAGGACCAACAGGTGAAAAAGGTTCGAAAGGAGTTACTGGTGATATTGGACCAAAAGTAAGGAAAGAAGATACTAAATTCTATCTAATTTCTAGTTTATATTCTAGGGATATGTAAGTATTTGTTTACCAGTTTAATTAGAAGTTATAAATATATTCATAACAGGTCGGTTCGACAGGTGATATAGGTAGAACAGGACCAAAAGGTATGTTTATTTTCAAGAAGTATAAAATGATTAATTGAATATCTATGCAGGAAGTACGGGTAGTCAAGGTCCTCAAGGAAACGTAGGATTGCAAGGTCAAATAGGAGGAAAAGGTTCAAAAGGTGACACTGGTATTAATGGCACAAAAGGAAATGTTGGTATTACCGGTGTTGTAGGTGAACAAGGAACTGAAGGTAGAATGACATACTAAAGTGTTCAAAAAAAGATTGTTTTCATTTATGTATCAGGCGAAAAGGGAGTCATTGGTGCAAAAGGACAGGAAGGTCAAAAAGGTAAACGTGGACCAATAGGGCCACAAGGTAACAAAGGTTTAGAAGGAGATATTGGCGCCATTGGTGATCAAGGAATACAAGGATTAATTGGATCGGAAGGTATAGATGGTGTAATCGGAGTAAGTATTTTAATTATAAGATGAAATATTATTTTGATTGTGTTCGATATAATAAATTTCTAGGATACTGGAATTAAAGGCACTAAGGTATTTTACCATTGATGAAATAGAAAAATAGTTTATTCATAAAGTTTTTCTCTTAAAAATACTTTTAGGGAGCTGTGGGAGAAAAAGGTAAAACAGGACTTGCAGGTCTAACAGGCGATAAAGGAGAACGTAAGTAGCATTATTGATTATCAAAAAAAAAGATATGAATACATTTCAAAGAGGGAAGTAAGGGTATTGTTGGTGGACAAGGCAATACAGGTGCTAAAGTAGGTATTCTCTTGTTTTTAATTCAGATGTAAAAGATCAAAATGTCTTGACTAGGGTTATGAAGGACCCATTGGTTTACCTGGTCTTTCAGGACCTCGTGGTCTTACTGGTATTATTGGTGAAAAAGGTTACGGTGGTACTCGTGGAAGCAAGTAAGAATTCTTCGAAAATAAATAAATCAAAACATCATATGCAAAATATTGTATATGAATATGTAGAGGTCCTATTGGTCTTCCGGGTGAACTTGGATTAGCAGGTGAGGAAGGTCCAACTGGAGATGTAAGATAAATTATTTCATTGAATTTAAATTATAATTTTGTTGTCTTTCTTTCAATCTAACTTGTCTTAGATTGGATCAGCTGGAGAAGTTGGTAAGTAAAATTTAAAACAAAATGATATTTAAAATATTATACAATTTTATTTGAAGGCGCATCTGGTAGTCCAGGTAATCCAGGTCAACGAGGACCTCGTGGTATGTGAAAGATATATTGAATCTTCGGAAGCTTTTAGGTCTCTCCCGTCGAAAATCGATTTTCGATATAATGCTTAAGACATTCGTATAACATTCGAAAGATGACCGACTAATCAGAGTACACTATTAAAAAGATTGTCTGACTTTCCAGCTATAGATTGGGACTGACATTGTAATAACGCTTATAGTTTTCCTATTTAGTGGAGGAAGAGGCTTCAAGTATTTTTGATTCGATCTAAAATTTTTATCTTCAGGTGATGTTGGAAGTCCAGGTCCAGCTGGTCCTCCTGGTCCTTCAAGTGCATCATCTACAACATTGACTACAGCTAATTTGATGAATCTTTTTACTACAAGTACTCAGATAGCACAATTATTCAACGTACCATTGGATAGATATAAACATACTGATTTTTCAAATCGATTTAATAACAATGAAAATCCAATGGTAACTGCTTCAAGATTTCTGGACAATCTCAAACGTCTCTCGAATGATATTACATTAAAAATTAAACCTGATGGAAGTCAAATGCATCCTGCTCGAAGTTGTCGTGATATTGCTGATTATTATCCAGAAAAATTAAATGGTTAGATTTAATCTTTTTTTACTTCTTTTTTTTTGTATTTTTGATTTTATAGGACTTTATTTTATTGATCCAAATGAAGGTTCAAAAATTGATGCTCTACCTGTTTATTGTAAACTAACGGAACGATTAACATGTGTCAATTCAACAAATGGATTAATCCAATCAAATATTTTTTTAAGAAATCGAATTCATTATGGTAAACATATTCGATTAATGGGAGATCTTCTACAACAATCAGAAGTATTATAAAATAAAAATAATTTACTAACTATTTATTATTCATTGAATTTTAGTTTAACTATGATATTGAAACAAATCAATTACGTTTTCTTCGAATGCTTTCTGAACAAGCTTCACAAAATATAATATTTAATTGTCATAATACAAATATTGATATATTAAATCATGATGTTAAATTAAGAACTAAAAATGGTATGATTTATCAAATGTATTCATTCAATGATGATTCATTACGATATAACATAATTCAAGATCAATGCAAAGTAATCTTATCTTTGAATATTATGTTATTTTCTTTTCATTTTTTTTCTTAGCATTCTCGTGGTCAAACAATTCTATCAATATCAACAAATAAATCTGTACGTTTACCAATTATTGATATTGAATTACTAAATAATTTCAATCAAAATGAAGATTTTACTATAAATATAGGACCTGTTTGTTTTACATAATAAATATGTGAATACTTTTAAATATAATAAACAACATTATTTATTGCAGCTAAGAGGAAAAGAAATATACATTATCCAGTGACACAAAAAAAACCAAAATGGTTGTGATTAAACCTTAAGACTAAATAATAAAAGAACTTTAGTTGGTATAAATAATAGATATGAGAATGAACTAAAAGCAATTCAAAACGAGATCAAAAACTAACATATTTTTTGTTTTATAAATTTTCTTCTTTATTTTTATCGTCTCCATTGAATGATTTTTCCACTTTTCGTTTTGGTGGTGTATATGTTATTCGTGGTCGATATTCATTTACATCCTGAGCTTCACTTAGTGATATATCATCATCTGGATCACCATCATCATCATGATCATGGGTTACATGTAATGGTAAGTCAGGGTGTGTTTGAATTGATAATGAATGACTTAAATGTGGTGCCATAGCTGTAACTGGACAATATGTTGAACGACGACGATCATGTGCATCCATTTGAGATTTTTCATCACCCCATGATTTAACATGCATTGGTTCTTCGGGATCAACAGTTGATTCATGAGGCATCTAAACATAAAAAAATAAAAATGAATTTGAAGAACAAAAAAAAACAAACACGAAAATAACAAACTTACCAATTGTGGAACAGCACGAAAAAAATAGAAAAATGGATAATAAACAAGATTCACAACTGAAGAAGCATAAATATCAGCAAATCTTGTTACTTGTGAAGCAAAGTGTGTTTGTCGAGAACCTTGATTTAATAAAATATAGATAATTAAATCAATATAAATAATTTACCTGTTCGAAATAAAGAACCCAAAAGACCAAAATTCATATCAAGTTCATGTGTACATTCCTACAAAGACAAAAACAAACAAATAATTTGAATCACTTAGAAAATGTTTTCTTTTAATTCCAATTCATATAATCTGTCTATAGCAATCGCGACCTTCGACTATCGGAAGTATTTTCCCTTACATATAAGTTGTTTTTACTATTTGCCAGTCTTCGGCCTTTTTTCTGATGAAAATTCGGGTACTAAAGATATTTCATCGATAAAAGAATATTTTCCCATCACAATAATAATGTTTTTACTGGAAAATTCATTCATTCTAGTGATCTTTCTAGATCTGTCTATTTGATATTTTCTTAAATATATCATTATTTCAAATTTTTCTATGCATATGTTATATTGACATGTTGTCTAATAAAGATAATATTATTATGAAATCACTATGTGCTATTGTGTCGAAAATTGTTTCCAAAAGAAAAGAAGTCAACATAGACTTTCTAACAAAATTTAGGCTTCTCTCCCCTCCGCTTTCAATAGTAATTGAATACCATAGTGAAAATCTAATCAATGTTTGTCTTGTTATATAATGTTAAGAAAATTGTTCTGTCTAGGATGAAGCAATTATTTCTTTGTGTACGTGTTTGACGATTTATCTTTTGTGAATAAACACATTACATATTGGAGCATAGCTGACATAGTGAATGAATTTATGCTTTTCGAACATGTATTATTGAATTACTTTAGAGATGTCTCGATACAGAGGAAGCTTTCAAGACAACATTTCCGTTCTGAAAATATATATTAAGTGAACTTCTGCTTCCTCGTTCACAATCTTGATTCCTTAAAACTTCTTTAAAATCTACTGGAATTGTTTCTCTAATGAAGGTTTGTGTATAGTGTGTGAGACAATGAAAGAAACTGGATTCTACTTTATTTTATTTTGTTGTCCAATCAAATTTATTCAAGGCAATCTGCTATAACTCTTTTATCCTTGTCTACACAACAACAACTGTCATTATTTATTCTACTACTCCTCCTATGTATGATCTTTTCAAACGATGTAGTTCGATAATTTAAATAATGTTTCTATTAAATATTCCTATTGTTGTAACCGATTATGCAGATTAAATGGGAATAATATTATTCTCTTTTATGCGTCATTCCGATATATGTTCCACTTGTTGGAATAAAATTTATAATATGAATGTTCGCTCAATTGGTTATCTGCAATTTTGAATAGATATTTATCAATCTATATAAATCTTTGTTCATGAAAGCCAATTCATAGATGTAACTCATCCATGAGTAGAGGAATTTAGATACTCTTCACTTCTATGACTTTTTCAAGATTCTTGATGCTATCATTCATAGGGAAAAGCTTTGAACTAAAACCTATTGATATTTTTCGAAGAATATCAGAATGTGAGAGTTAATTCTGAATGAAATGTTGTGACTGTTAAGTTGAATAGAAATAAGAAACAGAGTAATCACGTAACTCTGTCAGGCAACACATTTTTACTAATTTTTACTTCATGACTATTCTCGGTAATATTTCTTCTGAAGTTTTGAAATATAATATTCAATGCCAAAGTTTTTGAAAAGATGTCAAACTTTTTTATTCTATATTGCCAACTTCTAATTCAATCGATGTTTTTTTTTTTTGTTAGAAAAACCAACGTCTGAACTACAAACTTTGTACCATATATAATGTTTTAGAATGAATCTGATGAGAAGGAAAAGTCTAAAGTAAAAAATCTCTAAAAACAAAATTCTGGTAAAGATTTGTTCGATTTTAAAAGTTCTTGTATTTCTGGGTTGTTTTGAATTACATGAATGGATCGAATTCAAACAAAAATTCACGAAAACCTGACGCATCAACAACTCTACTGATACCAGTTTTGTGGCATTTTTTAGATCTGTTCTCGATTCTTAAAACAAAAACAAAAAAAATTTGAAAAATGAAATTTTTAGTACAATAATTATTTACAAAAAATCTCTGTGTGCCAGAACATCAGCCATTATCGTCAGACATGATGCATAAATTGAATTCTTTTTGCACAATTTATTCGGAACATTTCAGGCCATTGACATTTAGAAAACGAAACTAATTAATTCAAAAAATAGTTTTTTATTCTTGTAAAACGATCAACTTAACCAGGTTTTTTTTTAGAAAAGTTGTATTTTGTGATACAAATGATGAGTAAAATTAATTTCCGATACACTATTGAAAAGAGTACTCGTTACGCTAAAAAAACAATCAGCATTAAACGTATATTTTCATTTCCTTTTTGGTTTAACAAAAAAAAAAAATTAATGAAAAATAAAAAATGCTGTTGTTCGAAGATGAAACTGCAAGAACTTTTCTGAGAGTGTTAGCTTTTCGGTTTTTTGTCCTTGTGTTAAGTTCATTGGGAGGGGAAAATTTGTAGTTCAGACATTTCTCGTTCTAACAGTTTAGAAGTGAGCAATATAGTACAACAGAATTTGATATTGTTCTCAAAACTTTTACATTGCATATTGTGTAAAAAGACTCAGAATTTTGAAAACCGTGGCCAGAAGAAAATTTTCCTGATTTTTCTTCTTTTTTCACTGTTGCACTTGGACGAATGAATAACTGTTAATATTTTAAACTTTGCTCCAACAAAAAAAAAAAACTTGAAAAACAAATACAATAGTTTTGTAGAGGAAAAGTCCTCTATTGAATGACTTTCTAAAAATGTGCTCACACAAAAAAAAAAGAAAATGATTTTGTTCCGTTTAATCTACGCTACCCGCTGTAGCTTTATATTTCTTAATGATTCTTTTTTTTTTCTTATTTGAATGTTCATTCATAGTACTCTATGGACTTAAATGTTACCAGTCATTCAAAAATTAAAAAATAGTTGTTCTCTCTATAATCATGAACGGAAGTATTGTTCGTATTTTATAATTAGTCTTTTGAAAAGAAATTAATTTATTTTTTATAAGAATATTACTTCAAATACTAACTAATTAATAGAGTTCGTCATCATTTGTTGAAACAACAATAAAAAGAAATTGTCGTACAATATTTTATAAAATACTAACTATTACTTTTGACAAGAAAATGTTTTGTCTATAACTGAAGATTATCGGTAATGATAGGTAATAATTATAGAATATAATAAGATGGAATTATGATAATATTCTTATTTTCTTTTATAATAATAATGTCGAGAAAAAAAAGGTTTTATTTCTTCCAGGTATTCTATTTTCTTTTTCAACACTACATTCGGAAATAAAACTCAATACCTTTTTTTTATGTCCCTACAGGAACATTAAAAAGAAATAAAAAGTCTATTATTTTACTTAAAAATCAAATTCCATCTGAATGAAAAAAAAAAGGAATCTAGTACTTATTTATTATGCAAAGAATTTTATATAAAAAGCAAAACAAAAGATTCTATAACTATGAAATTCAAAAAATATAAATTTCAAAAGTTTAATCTAAAATTTCAAACTCTCAACTATTCTTTATCATAAATCTTTTATTCAAAATCGAGCTAATTATTATTTTTTTGGTTTTATTTTACTTGTATTTTTTGTTTGATTTTTGTAACAGCATCAGGTCTATGAACTGATGTCATATCAAATGATCGAAGTAATTCACTGATTGATGTATCTAATGATTCTAATGTATTAAATAAATCTCTTTTCTCATGAAAAACTTTTAATTCATGATTTAATTCTGGTACAACAAGCATTGTTCTCCATGCTTTTTGTTTTTTTGATTTAATTATGTCACCAAATATATGATCACCAACATATAAAACATCTTTACCCATTGAACCAATTAATTTTGAAACAACTTCACATGAACCTAAACAAGAAAAAAAAATAGAACTCAATGATATAAACATATTAATTAATAAATATTTTTTATTCATTGTTTACCTCCACTATAAACTTCATTTTCTAGTAATTGTCCAGAATAGGAACCCAATTTCATACTTCCAGTTTGTGGATCAATTAATCTTAATGTTGTACCTTCAGCAAAAAATAATGGTTTTTGTGCATCAACAAGTATATAATTAAAAAATGTTTTCCAATCACGTTTTGTTTTTGACTCATCAGATTTATCCGTTAATAAATAAGTCATTAATTTATCTGTATACCAATATTCACTATTAGTTAATAAAAATGTTTTCGCATTATGCGAACGAATACTAAAAACAAATGAAAACGAAAAAAAAAAAAAACAAGTAAATATTTTAATTAATCAATTATATTACCGATCTAATAATATTGGTAATTGTTCATCTTTATGAATATATTCTTCAATATTTTCACAAACGATTGTTTTGAGTTTACCCTTTTTAAAATAAATAGAAATTAATAAACAAAAAAATAATTAATAAAAAATTTGTTTTGTTTTTTTTACTGTATGATGAACACGATCAATTGAATTGCGAACATCATTAAATATAGCACGAAATGAAAGAATATTTTGTCCATATATAACACCTGTACGATCTCTAGAATTATATTGTCAAACAAAAAATAAATAAATAAGAAATCAATAATTCTTCAACGATGAAATAAAAAACAAATTTAACATACTCAACATATGTAGCAACCGTCGAAAAATAGTCAATCAAACACGCAATAAGGTAAATTTCTAAAAATAGAAAAAAATAAATAAACAAAAATATTTTTATTTTTGTCTTCGTTCTTTTCATCACCTGGAAGATTAAAGAGTGTATAGAAGACATAAATACGATCATCAACAGTAATATATTTATTTGGATATATTTGACGAACTTCATGTCTAAAAAAAAAAAAACGAAAAAATATTCTAGGATAAGTACATTTTAAATCATCTGTCAATCTTAATTTATAATATAACATTCATTTAATAATAAACTCAACAACTTCTTTTATATATTAGATTTCAACACAAGTATAATGTATTATTACAACGTACCCAGAAAGAAATTTAAAGCCATGAACTACAGTCAAAATATTTCCATAAGCATCAACTTTAAGTAAATTTCCATATAATTTATCATACCAAAGACCTCTATTGTAGGAAAAAAACAAACAAATAATTAAAAAGAAAAATGAAAAAAAAAATTGTTTTTATATTTTTACCGTAATGGAAATGATCTATCATAAACAAATTCACGAATTTGTTCAGGATAACCAAGTTCAATTAATGATTCTAATACTTGTTGAAATGTTAATTCTTCAAATTCAGGTGATTTATATAATGCTAATGTATAATCCATATCAAAACCATAAAATTTTATACGATCTAATTGTAAACTTCGATTAACAAATATACTAAAAAGAAATTGTCAATTAAAAATTAATGTTTTTTTTTTTTTCTTCAAATCAAACTAATTATTTACCGATGTCCTGGTTCACGTTTTATTTTCATATTTCTTCTCTAAATAAAAAATTTTTGGAAAAAAAGAAAGATGAATAATTCAATAATTTGTTTAAAAAAAAATCGATTTACTCGTAATTCGGAGTCCGATGAAAATGATTCACGCACGTGATCAGATCGTTTCATTTCTGTTAAGAAAACTTGATCGTCAATCTAAATAACAAAAATTATTTAGATGAATTATTCTATTAATTATTAATCAAAATTATTGAACTAGTTTTACCCACCATTGTATTTATTTTTTTTTCCCTTACAATAATTAAACAATTACTTAGGTCAAAGCAAGGGCATCTATGTGTAATAATAAAATGAATGAGTATATAATAAAAAAGAAAACTATCACTATGCTCACTATACGCTCTTTTTTTTTCTCCCTTTTCTGTTTTTATTATCCTTTTTTTTTTTTTTTTCTTACCGAACGACAAATCAATCGATGCTGTTGTTATATTAGGATTTTATGTACTTTAAGACAGAATAAAATATTCGTTCTGTATATACATATAAAGATTTGTTTCTTTTCTCTCGCACCTGTTCACTTATTTAACCAATTAGTATGTATTAATGATGTGTAAAAAGAAAGCTATTTCTCTCTTAAGGATTTAATGATATCACACTATGATATGCGTGACTAAAGTTGGAAACGATGGGATCATATCTTCTTATTTGCAAATATATCAGATAGATTTGATTATGTTTGTGTTGAGAACATCCTTACAAGTGATACAACAAGCCATGTAAAGTACAAAGTACATCAGAAGAAAGGGAAAAGCAAAGCGTCAGTCAATATGTTAATGCATTTTTGTGATAAAAAAAAAGAAATAATTTCCAGCTGATAGATATAAGACAACATATTAGGAATGTCAGAGAAAACCAGGCATCAATTTTTCTTCATCTAACAGCCGTAATGTTATTTACGTTTCCGAAAAATATATTGACTATTATCCAAGATATATGGAAATAATGTCACATTAAGATGAGGCGAGGCGAAGATCAAGTCGATTCTGATTAGTTTTTTTATCCAATGAAAAAAGATCCTGACTTTTCTATGAATAATAGTTTATTTTTATCATATGATTTCATATAGTCATATTTTTATTTTTATTCATGTCTATATTAACCTATAAATGTGAAAATGAAGTATATCCATTTTTGAATCTATAATAACTTTTGCAAAAGCGATAGATATAAATATTTAGCATAATCCATAGAATATTAACAAGCAACCTATAGATGATTGAGCGCTAATATCGTTAATTGTCAAAATTAAATTTCAAAATAATTATATCTTAATTATCTATACAAATTTATTATTTAAATAAATAAATTATTGATTTATATTTTTTGTTTGTTATCAATAGTGGTTTTCTTTCCTTCGTCAACACTCAATATGGTGCCCATAATACTGATCATCATTTATTTATTTTTTTCTTAACAAACGAAAAAAAAAATACAAATTAAATTTTTTTATTTTGTAGATATTTTAGTAAGATCCATCATGCAAATCTTTGTCAAAGTAATTACTATAAGACTTTGTTTTTTTGTTTATTTATTTATTTTTTGTTAGACTCTTACGGGTAAAACAATCACGCTCGAAGTATGTATATTATAATATTTTGAAAAAGAAAATAATCATTTAAATATATATATAGGTCGAGCCATCCGATACAATTGAAAATGTAAAGGCTAAAATTCAAGACAAAGAAGGTATACCACCCGATCAACAACGTCTAATTTTCGCTGGCAAACAACTTGAAGGTAAACATTTTATTTGTATTTGTTTAGAAAGTGTTCCATCATGAATATACGGTGATATTACAGTTAGTGTTTCACTGTGTGATATTAAATTTCATATAGTGAAATATATGCCAAAGGAGAGAGAGAGAGAGAAAACACCGGCTATAAAGTTATCGATGGAACATCTACGACATGAATATTCATTTAACTTTTTATTTTATATATTTTTTAGATGGTCGTACTTTATCCGACTATAATATTCAAAAGGAAAGTACACTTCATTTAGTTTTACGTAAGTATAAACCGATATTTGTTGTGTATATATATATATATGTTAATATTTATGTAAAGGTCTTCGTGGTGGTACCATTGAACCAACACTTCGTATGTTAGCACAAAAATATAATTGTGACAAAGTTATCTGTCGAAAGTAAGAATAACAAAAAAAGTTAAAAAAAAATAACGAAAATTTTCTTTAAAATTGAATTGTTTAGATGTTATGCACGACTTCATCCACGTGCAGTTAATTGTCGTAAACGTAAATGTGGTCATACAAGTAATTTACGACCAAAGAAGAAACTCAAATAAACATTTTGTTTTATTTTTTTTTTTGTTTTGCTCATGTTGAAATGCAAAAAAGAACAGGCAAAGACAAAACAACAACTAACATCAGAATAAACTAATAAAAGAAGAATAAAGAAAATTATTAAATACATATCATTGAATGTGTTCATTTTATTTCATGTTAAAAATATAAAAGTTTTGCACTAAAAAATTAGAAGTTTTAGTATAGAAGATTACAAACAAGACACTATTAGAATAACTTTGTTTTTTTTCTATAGAACAAGTGTTGTTAGTCTGGCCTCATTATTTTATACTTGTTAGTAAGTCAATATTTTGAACGAAGAAGTTCTAGAAAATGATCTATGATATTTCCAGTAAGCATCAAAATTATTCAACAAGGTTTATTTTCGATTTTTTTTTCGCTGTCATAAGTGTTATAAAGAATTCATGAGGAAATAAAAAAATCATGATTACATTTACAAAAATAGAAACTCAAAAAGACCACAACTCTCGTTTTTCAATATCTCGATTGCGTAAATATAATCTTGTTTGAACTATATAGAAAGACAGAGTAAACTATCTTCTACAAAATGAAACAACACCGAGTTTTCTGCCATGTTTTTTAGTTGAGATACAACAATATCATTGAAAGTCAAAATATTGCACAAAACTCAGAGACATCTCATTCTATAGAGAATTGTTTATGCTATCATGCAATGTAGGATAAACAAAATTATAAATACCTGTTCTACGTACTAAAATACTAGTCTTTCAGTTTTCTGAAGCCTCTATCTTTGTGAATACGATAATAATGCTGTGCTTACTGTATGTGATATCACGTTCGAATGATTATGACCTTCTAAGGAGTACAAAAATGAAGACTGTCAATCCTGAGAGAGAAGTAAAACAACGTAGAAGAAAGCAGAACATGTCTTATTCTAAGTGGAAAACGTAAGCAATTATTTTTAATTGTTGAGAAAAACCGTAGAAATGTTCAAGACTGTGATTAACTTGATGTAGTTCTGATCATAATTAACAATGAAAGATGAATTGGCTTGATAGTTGTTTTAGGTTTCGTTAAACATATCCTATTTTGTGAACATTTTCCTTATATTCCTATATTCTTTTCAAAAAAAAAGGAAGCGTCTTTTGAAAACAGGAACATATTTTAGAAAACAAGTAACTTGTCTATTTCTGTAAATATTATCCATAGCATTTATAACACAACTAGCAGATGATAGAGACAAAATGTACGGTTTGTTGAAGTTTTCTCAAATCCATTAGATTAACCATCAATAAATTGATGATTTCCTTATTTTAAAATGTATAGTTAAATTTTAGTATTCTTTTTCATTTTAATCATATAAATAGATTTTTATCGCTGCACAATGTTCAACAGCAATGTGAACTTCTATCTAATAACACTTTCTATATTAGATATTGAGTTCAGATAGTTTTATATACGGCCAATGAATGGAATCGATCATCGAAAGGCTTCATAATAATAAGTGTGAAGCAGTACTTCATAGCTTATATGAAGAAAGTTATTCACAATAAAAGAATCCAGCAATATTCATGATTTATTTTCTTGCGAGATTAGGATTTCAACTTAAATATCCTTATCTATGTCAATATGAAATAATGAATACTGGCGTGTTTATTGATGTTTTTTTTTTGAATTGTATTGATGCTGTGATTAACAAGAGCGAAAACTACATGCAGAAATCGAGATAAATTTATTAAGTCGAAAGAAGTAAGCTTTGGTGATTTCTCGAATCTTAAATCAGTTTGACGTTTTTATTAAGTTTATCGCCTTAACTTATTAGAGATCTGAGCACAGCGAGCACAAATATATATGAAAAACACTTAAATCAAGACCGACAAGTTGTTGATTGACTGTACATTAACCTTGATCTCATAAATATTTCATTGATTCTCAGTTGAATGATTATTTTTACACTACATACAAATTGAAGGAGTGCTTCAAACAATCATAAACTATTTCTACGATTCATTCTATTTATTGCTATTCTCTAACAATATCTGAATTGTGGACATCAACAATAGCAAAAGGTTAATAGATCAATATTCGCAATATTTCTAAATAATATGTGATTTGTTTTATTCATAGGAAAAATTACCATTATTAACAAAATACAAAAAAATAAATCTAAATATAAATTTTCATGAGAAAATTATTACATAATCATTTACTATTTAGTTGATCGGAAATCACGCTGATATGGCATGTGTGTTATGCATTTATCATTATAGCACAGGAAATTTATTTGTAGCATAATGCATTGTCTTTTTTTCTGAAGATAAAGGTTTCTAAAAAAAAAAAAAACATCTTACTAACCGAAAGTAATATCCTGTATATTTCCTACATAATTAAGGAAATCCTATATTAATCATGATTTTGAATTCCTATATTTTTATGAAGTGATGTTACTAAGTCAAAAGATTAATTAACGACTATGTTTGTTGAACTGAAAAACATATATATTCAACTATCAGTATAAAACTATAGATCATACTATTTATAATTTGATCAAAGGTTAGAAAATTATTATTTGTTATTAATCTGTCATCAAAATATTCATTAGTAAAATGAATAAAAAAAGCCAAAAATTTTCCAATACTGTTTCGATATATAGAATTTTTATTTTGATAATGCAAGTGACTTATGAAATGTCTCGTTTGAATACCTGAAACAAAAAAATATATAGCAATCGATATTATGTCTTTTCCGACAGTTTGAAGTTGTGTGATAAAACAGAAAAATGTATACATATATGAAGGATAAATCACTCGTTAGCAACACGACTTCACCAAATATGTTGAGGTAATGAACTCTCCTAGAGTCATTTTTTATTTAATACATATTTGTTAAGTCATTCTAGATACTGTAAAAAAAAAAACAGCACGTGAGATCTTTGTTCAGAGAAGTTATCAGTAAAAAATCTAGCGTTGGTAACATGTCACAAAAAGAGGACTTTGACTTTAACTTCATGCACTTTCATATAAAAAAAACTTTCCATTGAGCCAAAGTTATAATACTATATTCTTTAGACAACACCTGAGGTTACAAAATCTTTATCTAAAAGCTTTTTCTGAATATGTCTAGATTTTTCAAAAAGAAATCGACCTACTTTTCGTCAGTGATATGACAGAGTACGACTATACAAATGAAAAAAATGCTTTTATAACTGAATAGGAAGTTTAAAACCAATACTAAATGGTACAGACCCATCTTAAACCTCTCTCAAAAGCCTATTTTTGAGAGGAGGTCTTTTTGAAGTTTGATCTTACTGAAAATTTTATCGTAGATGCTGTTCATGTAATAAAGTTTATCCTGAAGTTTTCGGCATTTTTTTCGTCATATGATTTCAGACACACTCCCTAATTAGTTTTCAATGAGTAATCAGCTAAAAGAATTAACATTTTTACATATGTTTATGCAAAACAAACACTTAATCCTTGCAAAGAATCAAAATCGAATGAAAGGTCGTTTTGCCTGAAATGATGCTTGTGTAATTCAGCTATGACATTCAAGATAGAACGTAATTCAACGATTGTTCTTATATTCGAACGAACATTTTCATGAAGTCTAGAGTATTGAAAATATCACATTTTACATAACTTCGATGCCATATACAGTAATCACAAGATTTTTCAATGATCTTAGTTTTTACTAGATTTGAATGAATGTTTAAAAGAAAATAGTTATTTTATTTTTGTTCAAAGATTAAATCAAAGATACGTTAATCTTGACAGATTCGTTTTGTCAATATCAGTATGTTGTCAATTGAAAATTTATAGTTTGCAGGTTATTTTATTTTGGGCCTTGAAAAACATGTTCTTTTTTATGTTAATAAATAAAGTAATCTTTTATCAAATATAAACTATCATCAACAGATCAATAATGTGATTTGCAGGACTATTTGACTAAGATAACACTTGCACTTATAAAAAAAATAAACGAAAATGAAACTCAAGTAAGTCGTTTGAATCTCTTCAGGAATACCATTTAAACTAAATATTTACTAATAAGACTAAAACTTTTTTTCAATGATAAATCAACTATATTGCGTTTTGTGTTTTAATGTGCCAATTTAATGAAAATAGTCTTTAAATGAGTATCATCCTAAATGTTAAAATTAATGCACTGCATCAACTTGGACCTTATGAAACCAATGGACATCATACTATTGAAAAAAAAAATAATGATAGAAAATATTTCACTTTTCGTACTATTTCAAAAACAATTGATATTCTAACACACAAAATAAATATTGTTATGTCAAAAAACTCATTTGTATGAAAAATTGGCATATTAAACCGGTTTGTTATCTAGTTTTTTCACTGAATACAATGCATCATTTCCCTGTACACAACTGATGCTATAACACTTAAAAATAAGTATTTTTTATATTGAATAACTCATAAAAAATTAACAATTTAACCGGTTTGTTTTCTAGTTTTATTTATCAATAAAATTAGTCATTTTTTTACATATATATACCTAAGTCATTCAAAGATGTAAATATTGTTTTAAAAAAATAAAAACTATTTATCTATATTCTATAGATTACAATCATAAACACAATCGTATTTTTTCTTTAATGAGAAAAGCATACATCTGAATATTATATCAAAGCGGTAGACGTAAGTAAGAAAAAAAATATATATGTATATATTAATTTCAAGAGAAAATCTTCCTTGACATAAAAAGTAAATGAAATAAGACATGAAATTTATCGTAATTTACACATATTATAAAAAACATGTAACCTTTGGAAAGGTAATGTTATGAATAGAAACGTGAAGTGCCAATAGTTTCAGGCGAAATATTTTTTCTTAATATCAATCTATAACGATTTTTCATGTGACAATAGAGAAGAACATTTGTCATAGTTTGTTTTTGTTTTTCTTTCATTACATTTAAACTAATTTTATTTGTTTATTGCACGAACTAAATAACGAAAGCATTTATTTCTTTTGTTGTTTTATTCAAAACTAACTTGTATACCTTATTTTCATTTTGTATCTTAACCTTTTAAGTATCATGAGTTTGCCATAGTGAAACAAATTTCTTTATGACTTCATACTTACCAGGGAACACCCCTAGGTGAAGCTCCGCTTTTGACGTGATATTTTGCCCATATATAGGCCTTAGTGCGACTAGAAAAACCCTAAAATGGTTTGGATTTTTGGCGTTTTCTTCTTGAGCTATGACCGTTTTAGCAAAACTTTGGCCCTATGGTAAGTACTTTCGAAAAATTTCATTTTGAGGATTTTGATCTGAAATTTTGCCGACAGATAACTCTTATAGATACTAGATTATCCTGAAAGTTTCGACAAAAACGAATGTATCCTTCTCGATATATTCAATTGGCAAAAAAATGGGCATTTGTCACACGAAAGATACAATAATTGGGTTTCCTATAAAATCAATATCTTGCGAAGGATACATTCGTTTTTGTCGAAACTTTCAGGATAATCTAGTATCTATAAGAGCTATCTGTCGGCAAACTTTCAGATCAAAATCCCCAAAATGAAATTTTTCGAAAGTACTTACCATAGGGCCAAAATTTTGCTAAAACGGTCATAGTTCAAGAAGGAAGCGCCAGAAACCCAAATCCTTTTAGGGTTTTTCTAGTCGCACTAAGGCCTATATATGGGCAAAATATCACGTCAAAAGCGGAGCTTCACCTAGGGGTGTTCCCTCGTTAGAATACACACTATGCACTACTAATATTTCGAAATATTGAAAAAAACAATTTTATCCTTTTACAACTGTATTTTGGCTTTTGGTCTTACCTCTAGAACTGATATATGAGTGATCTTTCATAGGCTCATCAGTTTTATTGCCTTATAGACCTTTATGCTGTTATGATTTTTACATCAATGTATGTATGAAAGTGTCTTCTATGTGATAGTATAAACCGCATCTTGATCATATACACACCTTATTGAAAAACAGTGTTCTTTACTAAGGACTATAGTACTTAAATGGTTAAAACGATAAATGCCAAAAGACCATGAAAAAAAAACATTTTAGTCTTTTAATGTAAGATTTCTTTTTGATTGAAAGAAAACAAGCTCGTAAAAATTCTAAAGAACACAGCGAAGTATAATTATTATTTATTGTTTATCAAGTAACTATTAAATAGATCAATTCTTTTTTATTTTTTCCTATCATTTTAGAGAAATGACACGATTTAGTTATAAACGTAACAAAAAGGAAAGTTCTGTAGAATTTGCATCAACAGAACCATCACAACCAACAAATGAACAAAATGGTGATGCAATATATCATATTGATACACCTTTAAGAAAGCAAAGTATATATACAGTTGAAAAGTTAAATGAACGATACAATCTTAATCAAGATTTTCAAGAAAGTCCAATTAGTGGTACATGGAATTATATTAAAAAATATTATAAGCCAACACCGGCTTTTTTTAAAAGACAATTATTTAGACGAATACCATTTATTGATTGGATACGACATTATAATGTAAAAGAATGGCTTCTGCCAGATATTGTATCTGGTTTAACTATTGGTATTGTGCACATACCTCAAGGTAAAAAGAGAATTTTCTTCTTCTTTTTTTTTTCAAATAAATTTATCATCAAAACAAAAATATTTTCAAATTTTTTGAGGACTTGCATATGCTATTCTTGCTGGTCTGCCACCAGTGACTGGTCTTTATGTTTCTTTTTTTCCGGTTATTCTCTATGCTTTTCTTGGTTCATCACGACATTTAAGTGTCGGTAAGAGAATTAATATTTATTGATGAAATAAAACATATAGAAAGCCAATATATATGTATTTCTTTTCCTAATAGGTACTTTTGCAGTTTCTTCTCTTATGATTCTTGCTGCTGTTAATAGCCGAGTAGGAACACTTATTCCACCTAATCAAATTAGATCATCGATACAGAATGCAACAAGTAATTATGCTGATATGAATATTACAACTATGGATTATACAGAAGACTATACATCGAATACATTGGGATCAACAATAGTTTCAATAGCATCAACAATGAGAGCTTCAAGTAGTAATCAATATTTAAGTAGTAATCCAGATGAAGCTCGTATAATGGTTGCTTCAGCATTAGCACTTGTTGCTGGTTTAATTCATTTAGCTATGGCTATATTACATTTTGGTTATGTTACTGTTTATTTATCAGATTCAATTGTACAAGGTTTTACAACTGGATGTTCTATACATATAATAACAAGTCAATTGCCACCATTACTTGGTATTAAAATAAAAACAGTTACTGGACAATCAAAAGTAATTAAGGTAAAGAAACAATACTAATTTTTTTTATAAATTGATTTTAATATTTCGCTTTATTTATAAGAGTTGGATTGAAATTTTTAAAAATATTAAATACTCAAATGGTGCAACATGTATAATTTCTGGAATTAGTATTGCTCTATTTGCTAGTGTTCGTGATCATATTAATGAACGTTTTAAAGGACGAATGCCAATACCTGTACCAATTGAATTAATTATCGTAAGATACTAATAGAATTAAATTTTTTAGATGAAAATATTTGTTCAAGAAACAAACCCAACAAATGCGCATTGATGAGCCTGTCTTTTTCTTTTTAGAGAAAAACGGTTCTGTAACAAGACTTATGTTTGCGTTAAATTAGAAGATCGCGTAGTAGAGATGTGCAAGATCGAAGCCAAAATTTAGAAATTTTCGGGAATCGAGACCACCAGAAAAAAATTTGTCTCAACATGAGCCAAAGATTATAGTGAAATATTCTATGCTCTTAAGCGAATTATATCAATCAGAACATAATTCAAGAGAGATGAACCAAAAGAAAAACATTAGTTTATCGGCTCCATAAATTAAACAAAACTAGTATTGAAGTTTTTTTTAGAGGTGATACGAATAAAGTCTGAAATAGTTTTATCTTGACCGAGACTACTAAAAAAGAAGCTATCAAGACTGAAACAAAAAATTGGTTCCGCACATATCTATTTTTGAGTCATTTTCAATAGAAATAAGATAGAAATTTGAATTTTGTTTTTTGTAGTTGTATCAGAAGGAAATTAATTTTTATTCGTAAGTAAAGAAGACAACCGATAATAAATATGTTACTTGCAATATATGTTAGGAATTGTAAAAGCCTGAAATGAGGCATTTACGTGTCAAGAAAAACACCGGATTCCGTGTTGGTTTCATGGAAAGCTTTTTTCCCCATATCATATAACAAATCTCATAAAATCTAACATCTGCTACTCTGTAACATGAGGGTTTTAGTAGTAGCTGCAGTTCCATCTAACAAGAATCACTATAAGATTCTATCCTATTTTATAGAATTCTGCTTTGTTTCATTACATTTGAAAATAGTTTGACTGATGAAATTCTCGAAAGTCTCGTGTACTCTCAAATCCAAAAAACTCTTGTTTCTACCTTGACGTACATGCATGATGGTACCATACGTTAATATTGTGCGATATTAGCAACATAAAGGAAAGAGAAAATACTATCAAGGTTTAGTGAAGATAGATGATGTCTGTACAATTTAGGGATACGTTAAGAAGCTCAAAGCATATAAATACATTTCCCGTTGACACAGGATTAAGATAAATGACTTACTCGAACTTTTTTTAACAAAATAATTTCTACATCTATTGAATTCTTTTGATTCAAACAAAAAAGAACAGCATAAATCTTCATAATGTTGTATGTCAAAAATTCTCAGAGATTATTCGCTCTTTTCTCTATAGGTTATTCTTGGTACGGGTCTCTCTGCTGCCTTTGATTTTAATAAACGTTGGAAAGTTAGTATTGTTGGCAAGCTTCCACTTGGGTAAATAAAAATCTTCAATAAAGAAAAAACTTAGAAACATTAGTTTGTTTTTATTAGAATTCCGCCACCAACTGTTCCACCCGTTGCAGCTATATCAGATGTGGTAGGTGATGCAATTGCAATAGCTATTGTATGTTTTGTAATTAATATAAGTATGGCTAAATTATTTGCAACAAAATATAAATATCAAATAAGTCCAAATCAAGAACTTTTTGCATATGCAGTTGGAAATATTGTTACTTCTTTTTTTCGTGGTTTTCCAGCTTGTGTTGCACTTTCACGATGTGCTGTACTGGAAGGAACAGGTGGAAAAACTCAAGTAAGAGCATTTTAAATTTAACAAAAAAATAATGTTCTTTTTATTATTTTTAATCCTTATTTGTTTTTCTAAAGATTGTTGGGCTTTTGGCATCAATTGTTGTATTAATTGTTATTCTAGCAGTCGGCCCATTATTTCGTACATTACCAAATGCTTGTTTAGCAGCTATTATAGTAACAGCTATGAAAAATATGCTTTTACAAACTAAACAATTACCTGTATTATGGCGTATAAATAAACTTGAATTTTTAGCTTGGATAATAACATTTTCGGGTGTTGTTTTACTTGATGTCGATTATGGTTTATATGTTGGTGTTGCAGCAATGATTTTTCTATTAATTATTCGTTCACAAAGGTAAAATAGAAAAGATATTTTCATCTTTTACTAATAAGAATATATCTTTTTTATTTCTCAAAAGACCACATGCAACATCACTAGGTTATTTATCATCTCCTCGTGTGTATGAAGATCAAAATGCATATCCAACAGCAACTGATATACCCAATATAAAAATCTTTCGTTTTGAAGAAAATATTTATTATGCCAATGTTGAAATGTTTAAAAAATTATTTATTAAACGTATTGATTTTCGTGTTGATGATCAAATCAAAGCAATGAATGATGAAATAATAAATATTGAACGTGAATATAAATTACGTTTAACTAAACCAAGCAATACACTTATGAAATTTAAACGACATTTTCAAAAAGATAATACAACAAATACAAATGAAACAGTAGTACAAGAAAGTGTTGAAATAGATGAAAGTAAAATAATAGAAGAAAAGAACCAAAAAGTAAATTATATTACATAAAATGAAATGATTATTGTTTTCTATCTTTTTTCTCTCAAAGATTGAAGAAACTAGAAAAAAATATCGACCAAATTTTGATCATATTATTATTGATTGTTCACCTGTTAATTATATGGATATGATGGGTATTAAAACATTAATACAAGTAAATAATTTCCTCAATTTAATATTCATTACATATATTATTATTTTTTATTTTCAGATTTTTAAAGATTTCAAAGAAATTGGTGTAACTGTTCTACTTTGTCAAGTTCGACGTATGTTTCTATTAATTTTAAATCATTATAAAACATATTTGACTATTTTCTTTTAGCTACTGTTTATCGACAATTAAAACGTATGAGTTATATGGATGTTGCTGGTCGTGAAACTATTCATGTGACTATTAACGATGCAGTTCTGCATGCATTGAAAACAGTATGACATACTTGCCAACTTCATTCATTGTTTTAAATCACTGTTTTCTATGCTATTTTAGCGTGCTTCTCGTGATTCAGTTGTTTATGCACCAGGTACTCCACTGACTCATATCGGTATTGAAAATGCTGCCTATATAGATGATGAAGATGAAAACAGTGATGCAATAATAAAAAGTTATTTGTAGTTTCTGCTATTATATATTAATGACTGGGAACTTCGTATTTTTGTACCTTTTTTTGCTTAAAAATTTTACGTAAAAAGCGCATTCTTTGTAGTATAAATATACTTAATTGTACTTCAAAAGCGTACTTCAGTATCGGAACTAACTATCCAGATGCACTACAGCACCGATGTTTAAGTGCAAATATGCTTCCATACAATTGATACGTACTTGTTTTGTTTATCCACTTTTGCTCATATACATAGATATTATTTTATAAAACAATTCTATGGAATTTAGTTTCTATTTGAACCCATGATGCTTTTACGAAATTTTGATTTGTTTGAAATTCATTTCAAACAATCTTATACATAGCTTTGTTGAAATATTGAATGTGTGAAAAGTAGAATAAATTCCAATGAATTCATGAAAATTTTTTTGAGTAAGAAAAGAATTACCAATTGACTATTGTCTATTATCTACGCTAGAATTAAATGTGGTTAGCGTAAGATGAATATATCGAGAACGGCAATGGATATCGACTTGTAACTTCCACCAATCGAACGACGCTAAGTTGAGACATGTTTTAATCTAATATTATGCAAAGTGAAATCATCACCTAATCAATCTTTTTTGAAAATCTTTCTAAAAAATGTATAATAATACAATATAGTTCCAATGAAACTTTCATTCTGACACGTATATTAGATAGAGGAACTTTAAATTTCTAGTTCAAGATACAATGCAAATGGTTATCTTATCACAGTCTAACTTCGAGCCAATGAATTTGGTTATTTACGTCCCAAAATAATAGGGAATTAATTTGATTTTTAATCAAGTTCTTTTTACATTTTATTCAAAATGGCTTGTTGTTCCGATGAAAATGTGACTAAAAGTAAGAAAATGTTGTTAAAAGTCAACGTAACTCTTTACTATTTTGGAAAGCAAATGGCCAAATTCATTTGCTCCACATTATACTGTAATAAGATGACCATTTGCATTGTATCTTGAATTAGAAATTTAAAGTCCCTCTATCTAATATACGTGTCAGAATGAAAGTTTCATTCGAACTATATTGCATTATTATACATCTTTTAGAAAGGTTTTCAAAAAGCATTGATTAGGTGATGATTTCACTTTGCATAATATTAGATTAAAACATGTCTTAACTTAGCCTCTTTCGACTGAGGAAAGTCACAGGTCGACAGCTATTGCCATTCTCTGGAAACTCATCTAACGCTGACTCGTATTTAATTCTAGCGTACACATTAGTACCATATAACTTTCTCTTGATATACAAAAATTATATGAATTAAAAATAAATAAAAAAAAAACTACTGGTAACATTAGATAAAAAAGAGAAGTTAATAAAAATAATGAAAATCATCAACTACATAATTTACAATAAAACTTGATTAATTTTAAGAGTATCAGTTCTCTCAATAATTGCTCACTCCTATTTATTTGTCGTGATAATAAAATCCGACTAACAGATGGAAATATTCGTTTCAGTAGTGTTGATGAGGCTTGAAGGAACAAAATGCACACAGTTAATTTGTACAAAGCCTCATCTGAAAATGGGACTAATACTCTAAGACTTTGCATACGATAGAATCATATGAATGAGCTTCTCTCTCAAATGTAAAATCCAATGATATCAAAGTTTATGAATCACGATTGCGATTATCGCGGCAATATAACACTTTTTTTCTTGTGACTTTGAGTATCGAAAATAAAATCGATATTGCTGTATAGTCGAGGAAATCTTTTAATCGGGTAATTTTTTGATGATGCTATTAAGTCTTTGCTGATTGCATCAAGTTCTTAGGTGTGTTTGCTTTTGTTTTAGTCGATTTTCAGCATTAGTAGGTCGAACAGTTTTGGACTGTTTGTGTTTTATTGTTTCATACATACATCGAGAAAATACCACACAAAAGAGAGAGGAGAGAAGAATACAGTGAAGGCTGGCTGATGAACAAGACACGAAAGAAAGCATTTATATGTGGTCGAGAGACAAAAAGGGAGAAAAACAAAAGAATAGAAAGAAGATACTAACGGTAGAGAGAGCGACCGCTCACGTCGATGAGTGTATGATCGAAGAATCCGTCAGAGTAGTTAATCACAAATTACGAATTCGATGATATTTGAACGACGGACCTAATACAGCGTCCATAAAATACATATAAAGGATCATGAAACAGATTATTCTCTTGAAGATGAATTGATTTTATCTATTAATGATATCAGTAAAACGTGTTTCGATTTATGTTTGAAACTGTTAAACATGTTTAGTACAAAATAAGAGATTTTCATTAATATTGAGACCGAACTTGCCATAAAAATCATTTCTGCTTCACCTTTAATAAAAGCTTCATAAAATAGTTCTAGAATGCCAGAGTTTCTTTCAGCATTATGAGATCATCATCCAAGAGTGTGACCGGATAAATCAAATGTTTTTTCACTTGAAGCCAAATCTGTTTTCTCCATTTCATCCAATACAACAACTTTTTTGTCGATTTGTCCAAGAACTTTGCGAGTGTTTGGTATCTGTTAAGCACCTCTCAGATATAAGATGCGTTTATAAGCCATCTTGTATACAGAATTTCGTGATATGTACAAAAAAGAATAAGCGTACTGCTGATGAGCTCTTAGAATCATCAATATCTTCACCGTGGTGTCCATTTATCACTTGAAAACCGTTTAATTCTGTGTGTTATATAATAAACAAAGCCTATATATAAACAATTTACGAATTGAAATGTCAACGATGAGATAGCAATACTAAAAAAACCTATAATTCTTTTCAGTGTACATAATCACATTCTATTTCCAAAAGAAAACTTAAAGTAGAAAATATCTGAACTAGTCTTAAACATTACCAGCCTTTAATTCATTATGGTGATGTCGATTAGCTATGTTTTAAAGGAATATGGGAATGTCTCTGTGCTTGAAAAGAAGTTTTGAAATTTCTCTCCTATAAATTGTTTGTAACTTATGCTAGTTTCTTAAAAATGATACTTAATTATTATTAGTTATAAATTGACTTTCTAGACCACAGGTTTGATCAATTATCAAGAAAAAGCTCGAAGAATTTTTCTTGTGTTTGCTCTATCAAAACCATAGTTTATAAATATCAAACACCACTTACAGTCATAGGGATTAAATATTGGGTCGGCGTCTCACATCTATGCACTTTCATCACTATATATGTCATTATCTTCAGTAGCAAACAAATCAAATTTATATATTTTTATCATTGATGATGCATTGTCAGTAATTGTATTAAAAATCTTTTCTTTAATATTAAAACAATCAAGCACATTTTCAGTTACTTGCTGGGTATTTTCACGAATATGACGAGATTTTAAGCGTAAAAAGATCACTTAAATAAGCATGTGATACCATTTTATAATGAATGAAATGACATGTAATCCCTAAAAAAGACTGACTGATGTCGATCTGACCACTCATCAATAATTCATGCTGAATGATTAGGATTATTTACTATTTAATAAATTATTTTGAGAACTTCATTTGTAAATGTCGGTCAAATCTCCCAGATACAAGAAAACGGCAGCGTAAATGGTCGTGAAGAACTCACAGAACGGCGGTATGTAGTGAAAATTAATACAGTGATCTGTTGTTTCCGGCTGTTGACGTAGCTGTTTTCGACAGTCGAAATAATCGCTCTGCGATCACGTTCCAATTTTGTGTCCATATGGAATCATATTTTTAGTTAAATTCTTTTATAAAATCGCGAAAAGCAGAATTTGCTACTAAATTTTATGGCATATGACAATAAATAATTAAATCTTTAGAAATGGATGAAACAATGTGATTTTGCTTGTATTTTGTACTTTTTAAGTCAGCTGGTGTTAAATTATCACTGATGACACCTTTTCTCAATCAATATTCAACTGTACTACTGAAAATTCGATGATATTCAAGCGGGTGTACTGGTTTGTAATGTTTAAAAAAGTACTAAATATTCCATTTTGATATTTGTAGTTTTGATCGCATAACTTACATAAATCGGTAGTTCGATTTTTATCACGTAGAGAAAGTCAAAAAAAACAAAAGTCAAATGAACACTCATATGAAAGATAATATTAACTAAAAGAAGCAGCTGCTGCGACTGAATACCGAACCGAGCAAAGTTCTTCAGGACGTAATTATACATCCATTAATACCTCGATGTTATAGCGTATTGGTACTGAAATCTTTGGACCTGAACCCAATGGCACCGTATTTTGATACTTTCAATTAAATTTTCTAATCGGAATAAGAGGACCATTTCCAGGATACAAAATAGCTTTTTTTCCAAAATTGTTATTTTCAGTGACTTGTACACGTTACACATTTCTCTGATGAGTCGTCTGAAAAATATGTAAGATAGAGCCTATCTCTTTCAAAGTTTTCGGATCTGAATTGAACCGAATTCGAGTTCAGGACTAAATCAACGGGCTCTACTCGAGATCTTATGCTTTTCTAGTATATGTACTGAATTAATCGGAATTCATATCTGTTTGATTATAGATGTCTGTCAAATGCACGAATGAAGCGTATTATCAGTCTAGATACTAGTCAATACGCTCTATATACAGTTATACTTCAGGATAGCTCTTCAATATGGATTTGGTGTAAAACTAAAAAAAATGGAAAACATCGAATACGGATACATCGAAAAAAAATAGGAAAATACAAAAATCGAAGACATCTATTAGGAAAACGAAACAGTTGAGAGGAAAAATTCGAAAAGTTAAATATTGAACACGAAAATTTTTTAATAATATTAATGAATAAAAGAATTTTTTTCGATCATATGAAAAAAGATGCTACAAAAGAGAAAGTTAAGTGTATAAATCTTAATTCTGTTTTTTCCCAAATGTGACTATGGGTATGGGTATGCGTGAATATAGGTCTCTTCTTTAATCACACACCATGACACATACGCACACCTACTCTCCCTTCCATCTCTAACTCAGATCAAAACCCTACACCTCCTTATATACAAGTAAATAAGC